GCAGGGAAATGGTTGGGGGGGGTGGGGGGCTGATTGCAGCCTGAGCAGCAGGGGTACACCCACCTACCCAAGCCCCTCTCTGAGGGATGGGATGAATCTGTGGGTGGTGGCATCCTGGGCCACCCTGTCCCACCTGCTTTTCGGTGTGTGTGTGTGTGTGTGTCCCCTCCCCTCCTCTTCCTCAGGGGTGTGAACGACACCATCTTCTTCACCACCTACCTGAACAACTCCTGCAGTAAGTGCTTCTTGATCTCCAGTCACCTCTCTGGGGGACCCCATCACTTCAGGGGCTCTGTGGGGTGCTCTGGTTTACCCCTACTGATCCACCCTCCAGCAGAGCCCCCCACAGAGAGCACGGTGATCCCAGCAGAAAAACTGGGATTAGCTGGGAATACCCAGAGCTGGGACACCGGAGGGGGACATAACGGGACGCTGCAGGGGGACACAGCTCCCGTGGCAGCTGACAAAGCTGGAGGCAGCTCCAGGCTCGTTAATCCACTGTCCCTTCTTCTTAAGAAGCTGATCTGGGGTTACTGGAGCTAAAGAAAACCTCTGACTTCGGCAAGACCTTCAAGGTCATCGGCACCAAGATTTACTCCTTCGGGCTGGGAGGACGCTTTCTTTTTGCCTCCGTTATGACAGAGAAGGTCCTTGTCCCCCTTCCTGGCACTGCCGGAGAGCAGGCAGCAGTGGCTTGTCCCTGCCTGCAGCTCTCCCTGGCCTCCCCTTCCTCTCCCTGCGAGGAGGATGAAGGGTGACGATGCTTTGGCTTCCCCAGGGTACCACGAGGCGCATTCACGTCTCCCTCGACCAGGGCGAGACCTGGAACATGGCCCAGCTCCCCTCTGTCGGGCATGAGCAATTTTACTCCATCCTGGCCGCTAATGACGACCTGGTGTTCATGCACGTGGACGAGCCGGGCGGTGAGTGGGGCCCAGGCTGCATGTGATGGGGACAAGGACACATCCCAGGGCTGGGGGACACAACTGGAAACCTCTCTGCAGCAAGCAAGCCAGCGCCTCACCCCAGCACGGGGCTCTCCACACAGCAGTAGCTCTGCTGTGCCTTGAGGGAAGGACTGTCTCATTAAGGCATTGCTAATTAGCAGGCTGCTCGCTCGGGTTTGCAGTGCGCGGGGATCTGTGACTGCGTTGGGTCCCTTTTGCAGCATTTGGGGGTTTCTTCTCTTTCTGATACACCCCGGGGATTTGCTGATGCCAGTCTGCGGTGGCCCCCCAGCCCCTCCCTCACTGCTGTCCCTGTGTCCCTCTTGCAGACACGGGTTTTGGCACCATCTACACCTCCGACGACCGCGGCATCGTCTACTCCAAGTCCTTGGAGCGGCACCTCTATACCACCACAGGCGGGGAGACCGACTTCACCAACGTCACCTCACTGCGGGGCATCTACATCACCAGTGTCCTCTCCGAAGGTGGGTGGCCGCGTCTCCGTCCCCACCCCGAAACTGGGGTTGTGCCTCCCCAGGGATGGGATCTGGGACCGGGGGTTGCTGGAGGGGAGCATGACCCTCGTGCAGGGTGGAGTTAGGACGTGTTGAGCATCCTCCTCTTCCTCCTCCTCCCGCCAGACAACTCCATCCAGTCCGTCATCACTTTTGACCGTGGCGGGGAGTGGGTGCCGCTACGGAAACCCAAAAACACCACCTGTGACTCCACAGCCAGGAGCAAGGAAGAGGTGGGTCTGTCCCCACCCTGGGGGGGGTCCCGGTGCCATTCCCCTGGGTACCCTCTGTCCTGGTTCTGCCAAGGGGATGCTCAGGGGTGAGTGAATCCATCCTGCAGCTCCCACTGGGAATACTAAGGGTGTGGGGCTGTGGGTCTCACCGTGGGCCCTTGGGTCACACCGTGGGGCCGTGGGTCACACCGTGGGGCTGCCTGACAAGCCCTGAGCAGGCTGGGGAGGGTCCAGCACCCCCTC